TTGTAAAAGGTATGGACAGAGTCCCTCAAAACCCATCTCTTTTCGGTTGGTGCGAGAGATTACATCGTCTGAGAACTTTCGGAAGGCCTCCTGGACCATTGGCTCGGTAATCGGCAAGGATATAAAATGTGTCGGCCGAATCTTGGTCCTGCTTTGAGATACGATCCAAGTTATTTTGCGACAGACAGCCTCGACGTTCGCATGACTATCGGCCACAATCCTAACCGAGGGAGAATTCGAACCTGGTTTGGGTAAATTGAGTCTGCATGCGTGGTTCTTCTCTAGTTCTATTAGGGTTGATTTCTGTGGTCCGTGTATAAATCGGTGGAACATACAGGGGATTCTTAGCGTGCATGTGAACCGATTATCCTCAAGATGAATTCCTTCGATGAAAGGCAGAAAACTACCCTGCTCCATCTCATTAACCGTTAAATCTCGTAATTCCGAATCTACACCTTCCAAATACGACAGGGGGAGAGAGCAAGCCAAATCCGAAGACCTCACGGGATTCTGACGGTAATACCTATTACCTATACGGAGGATGGGGAGAGAGAGCAAGGCGCACATGAGGGAAGTAAGACCTCCCGGGTTTGGTGATAAGGCCGGGCAAATAATAATTGACAAGCCTAAAAAAATTTTTCAGACAAATACAATTTTATTTTAAAATAGAAGCCTATTCAAAATATTTTATTTTTAATTGACTTATGTAAAGTTTTTTAATATAATTAAGAAATATCTAAGAATATAAATCAATTACTTTATCTTTGTTAACACATACCGGGTCAGTTTCGACTTCCATTGATCCCCGTCTCCGTCCTTCGCCTCTCCTCCATTTATGTCTGATGATATCGACGTTGAGGCGTTACTGGAGGCTCCCTATTCTGAGGTATGCTATCGAAATTTCAGACGTCTTTAGGAACCAGATATGATCGCCAAATTATTTACAAATAAATTCTTTATTTTGTTAGGGTGCTATCCGGGTTTTCAATCATCTGGGACGTCATGGCGGACGTCAGGCTCTTTCCTTTCCCTCTAGTTTTCACTTGGTTATTATCTGGTATGTACTAAGGCTAATTACCTCGCTATCTTTTTTCTTTGCTCTGCACTCCTCTTTCTGCCTCTTCTAATGCTGTTGTCGCTCAACAGGCCCTGAAGTCCGATTGGGACGGCCGACGTAGGCACCGGTCGAGGTCCCGCTCGCGAGAAAGGGGAAAAAGGTACTCTCTTGATGCATATTATCGAGCCATTCTTGCCTAGACATCGCTCTCGCAGCCTCGAACGTAGACGCGATCGTGACAGGGATCGGGATCGAGACAGAGAACGTTTTCGGGATCGAGAAAGACATGATGGACACACTGAACGGTATCCATCAGATACCTATGGCTACCGGCTGGATCGCGATGGGCGTAGATATAGCTCCCGAGCGAAGTCGTAAGTTTTCATTCTTGATTTAATTTTGACTTGTCTAACGCAAGTTTATTTTTAGGCCTGAACTTACACCAGAAGAACGCGATGCTAGAACTGTTTTCGTATGGCAACTTTCTGCTCGCATTCGCCAAAGAGATCTCGAAGATTTCTTCTCCTCTGTTGGCAAAATCAGAGACGTACGTCTTATAATGGATAATAAGACAAGGCGCTCCAAAGGAATTGCTTATGTCGAATTTCGTGAAGTCGAATCAGCTCAGTTAGCTCTTGGATTGACTGGCACCAGACTTCTCGGTGTCCCTATCCAGATACAGCAAAGCCATGCTGAGAAAAACAGATTGGGCAACCTTGTTAACTCCCAAGTCTATGCTGCAAGCACTACTTATCACAGGCCGCCTCAACCAAAGGGTCCTATGAAACTTTACGTAGGGTCACTGCATTTCAATATAACCGAAGAAATGCTCAAAGGTATCTTTGAGCCTTTCGGAAAATTGGAAGAATTAAAACTTATCAAAGATACAACGACTGGTCGATCTCAGGGCTATGGATTCGTTACTTATACTAATAGTGATGACGCCAAAAAAGCACTTGAACAGCTTAACGGTTTTGAGCTCGCAGGCAGACCAATGAAGGTAGTTTTGAATTTTATTACCTCCTTTTATAGGTTAATTATGTGACAGAAAAGAGTGATCTTCACAGTCTGAGTCTTCTGGACAATGAAGACGCGGACAGGGCTGGCATTGAGCTTGGAACTACCGGACGTCTTGCACTTATGGCCAAACTAGCAGAAGGCACTGGCCTAGAGCTGCCCAAGTCGGCTTTGGTACAGATTCAAGCAGCACAGGGAAATCCTACCTTAGGCGCAGCTGGGGCTGTAAGCTCGGCTTCTGCCACAGCACCCCCTGTTTGCACTCAATGCTTCATGCTTTCAAATATGTTCGACCCTCACATAGCCACTCTTTCTACATTCGAGGAAATCAGGGATGACGTGATTGAAGAGTGTAGCAAGTTTGGTGGTGTCCTGCATATGTATGTTGATAGAACTAGCGCACAGGGAAATGTCTACGTTAAATGTCCTAGTATCGGTGCCGCCACTAACTGCGTTAACGCACTTCATGGGCGCTATTTTTCCGGTCGCCTTGTAACAGCAGCTTATGTTCCCCTAATTAACTATCATCAACTATTCCCAGATTCCACGACTGCGAATACTTTGCTCAAACCGAATAACCTTTACAATTGATTTTTCTTTGTACAGCTCCCACTCCTTGCCAGAAGGCGTTTTAATTTTTTCGGTTTTATTGACAAACCAAATAAAGGCCACTTCAGTATTTACTGCTGCTTTCCTTTTGGTCCTTGTTTTTTTTTTGGTAATAGCCTCCAACTGCCTCGTTCTTAAAGCTGGCCCATCTTGATTGCTCAAGTAGGATCGCCTCCACCTCGCGCCTCGTCGGGTATTCTCGTTTCTACAGAGAACAAAGGGTAAATTTCTGATGACGTGCCCCTGAGTACATTATCGGCTCAACCTTTAAAATTCGCAAATATCGGCTCGTCTAAGCGCGTAGGGCGCTGTGATATCATGAGCCTCCACACAGATATCTGAACTTACTCATGACTCTGCTGCTTTCCTGATTCCAAATACTTTGTTGCTGTCTTTTTCTGCGTTTTGGGTCTGTCTGAATCTTCCCGATCATATTCCGGTCAATATCAAGAAGCTTAGTGTTTTCCATCGTGTCCTGCTGTTCGACTACATGCTGCCTACTCGGGCTCCCTCGGGGATCCCCTCTTCCTGTCTGGCATTGGAGTTTACTTCACTCTTTATCTGCTATAGGTTCAACTACTTTAGTCCCAAACTCTGGTTACCCGTGGCTTGTGTTTTGCTCGACAGTCCTCAACCCTTTGTCGCTTTAGTCACATAGCTTGGGTAGGACGGAGTTAGGTCGGCTCCACACTAGCTGGAGAGCGGCCGAAGCAAATGCCATCCTTAGTCTGATGTATCCAGTTAGTGTCTCTAATTGCCTTGGGAATATAGCAGAGCGAAAATATAAACCTTGTGACTTACTAGGTCAGGAATCTTGAGTATTGTCTCGTTTTTGGCATTCTGGAGAAAAAAGGTCTTGTCTACCCGCATCACTTCAGCACCGTCGCTTATCTGTTTTAAAATAGAAAAGGCAAGTAGGATTGCGGTAGTCTGAGTGCCAAGCATCCTCGGGTACGTTTTAAATAATCCTTACAATCTTGGTGCATATGATATGACTCCCCTCGGCCATTTCCGTCTGGTCATGGTCAACGTTCCGGATTCAATGCTCTCATGTATATAAAACTATACGAAAGCTTCGCCTTGGTAAAAACTGGCCTTAGATGAGTAATATCTACTCTTCATGCCGGGTATTTGTGCATATCACTGCCCAGTACGTGAATTTGATGTATGCACTTTTTTCTAGGCTGTCGGGTTATTTCGAACTTGGTTTCTGAGGCCGACGACTCGGTTATCAAAATAATAGCAGTCCCAGTTCAGTGCCGCATCGTTTTTACTCTTCATGCCCTGAAATTTCTCCTTCCATGTAGTTTCATTTACGCTTTCGTCGATCTATCACTCAAGTGAAGTTGATAGGCTTATATCAGCAGACAACGTTAAGCTTTGGATATTTTCGTATGTGAGTAGGGTTTCGAGATTGCCAGTAAATCAGTATAATGAGATGCGTTCACCGCCCTATTTCGTCTAAGGTAATGAAGGATTGGTAATAGAATTTTCCCACTGATATGAGTTGAGCTCACGTTTCCATTGAATTTCACAGCCTTGTTTATCCAAAAGTTGTTCTCATCCAGGGTGGACTGCAGTTTCGACCTCGCATCGGTGTTATCAACACCCTTAGCGGGAGTCGAACCGCGACAGTGCAGGACGGTAGCTTGACACGCTAACCACTCGGCTACACTGGCACGAGTACCCTTGAGTCACAGGGCATAAGTGAATTTCAAAGAAAGGTCTTGCCTCTGCTATATCATATTCTTTTTGCGTAATTCAATGGGAGTGCCGATGAAGTAAACGTATATTTGCTATAGCAATCGACTAAGTTACTTATTTTCGTATGAGAGTAGGGTTTCGAGACTACGATGCGAGGTCGAAACTGCAGTCCACCCTGGATGAGAACAACTTTTAGGAAAAGCAAGGCTATGTGAAATTCAATGGAAACGTCAGCTCAACT